AATGTAATTATTTTAGATATTTGTCAAAAAGTGGTTTTACATATATGTCAAGTTTCTTTTTTTGAAGAGTATATTTAGAATGAAGTTTGTATATGTCATTTCCCATTTCCGTTATAAAACAAGTTTGTAATATGCTAGTAACTGTAGATATATATTCAAAAAGGAGAAATATATATACTTCCAGTCAGTCAGAGTATTGTACACCCCATCTTCACAAAATTAAAATTAATCGTAAACCACAAAACGCGTACACTTCTGTATGGCTGTCAGCGGCCGAGTATAAACATACCACATGTCCTGGAGAAAAGTAAACATCTCAATTACAATAAATTACGTTTATAACGAACACGCTTATAACGAACTGACGGACATAACGAACTCGTTATTTGGTCCCGTCCATTAGCTGTAAATATACTTATACCGAACTATGGTTATAACGAACTAAAATTATTGGTCGCTTTGAGTTCGTTATTACCCTATGAATATAAACTGAAGTACAAAAGAAAGTACACACCCCTAAAATATCATATATTACGCATATGGTTGAAAAAGTTGTTACATGTTTGGCGCTATCGTAATGTAATGAACAAAACCAATGAGAGCATATCGCAGAAACGTAACCTTGACATTATGATAGGCAACAAAAGCACACATTGTGAAAATGGCAATTTACTCCATTTGCACGTGCAATGTGCGTAGAAACAGTATGAAAGGCAGTGGATTCTATCGTTCATTACATATTCAACGAAAAAAACACAAGACAAATGCCACGTTTAACAGCAGCGGAGCGAGAGAGAGCCGTGGGAATGTCCCAAGTGGGGGCGTCGAACAGTCACATCGCAAGGACCCTTGGCTGCACCAGGCAAACCATTATCAGACTCCTTCGTCGTGTCAACCAGACTGGCCAGACATCCGACCGCCCAAGAAGAGGAAGACCGAGAGTGACGACCCCTGCAGAAGACCGGTACATACGCACATTACACCTGCGCAACAGGTTCCTCACCATGGCATCAACAGCGTCGACAGCGTTAGGTCACCACATCAGCAGGAACACAGTCATGAGACGACTACGAGCTGCCGGTATCCGGGCTTATCGACCATTCCGTGGGATGACCTTGACCGCTCAACACCGTATCAGCCGTCTTCGCTGGGCAAGAAGAGTCAGACGCTGGCAACGTCGTGACTGGTCACGAGTCCTCTTTACCGATGAAAGTCGATTCAACCTCTACCATGCTGACGGTAGAGTGAGAGTCTACCGACGTAGAGGCGAGCGACTGGCTGGAGCATGTGTCCAACAAGTTCATCCTTTTGGCGGAGGCAGCGTTATGGTTTGGGGAGGCATTTGCCGCGAACAGAAGACGGATTTGGTCATTCTCCACCAGACCCTGACAGCCCAGAGGTACAGGGACCAAGTGTTACAGCCGGTGGTGATCCCCTTCATGCAGGGGCAAAGGCAGGGGTTTCTTTTTCAGCAAGATAACGCCCGACCACACACCGCTAGACTCACTATGGACTTCCTGAACCGTCAGAACATTCAGCTTTTGCCTTGGCCGTCACGCTCTCCGGACTTGTCACCCATTGAACACCTGTGGGACCATCTCGGTAGACAGTTGCGACGACGTGCACAGCCACCAACCACCATACCACAGCTGGAACAGGCTCTGCGAGAAGAGTGGCAGCGTATCCCTAATGACGTCATCCGACGGTTGACCTTTTCCATGAGAAGGCGTGTCCTGGCTTGCATTAACTCAAATCGGGGTCATACGAGGTACTGAGACCACTCGCATGGCCTTCATACCTGGGACTGTCATCATTTCTACAAGTGTGATTTTTGATGAGTGACCGCCTATGGACGTTATTGTCAACTGAACAGTTTTATGTGGCAACAAATCTTTAAATCCATTCTATACATGTTTGAAAATGACTCAACAATGACATTAAACATTACAATCACAATAAAGTTTGCCCCGTCTTCTTTTACTGTCAGATGGTGGGGTGTGTACTTTCTTTTGTACTTCAGTTTATTAAGAATATTGTGTATATTTAGACTTGTTGGGTTCCCGACACTTATTATGCATTTATACACAGCGAACTAGACGTTCACGACCTTGTTTGGCGGACTGGTTATATAAATACACGTATCAATATTCCAAATGCATTCACAGTTTTTCATTTTATAGTACGATATAATAAGGGCAGATTTATATGCAAAGCAACAGTGGGAATCATCAAGACATATCTTACGATGTATATGGACCCGTGAAGATCCGGGATAGAATAGGTCTTCAGCAACTCATGCTTGCCGTAAAAGCGACATTGCTTGTCGTAAGAGAAAAAAAAGAAAGACAAAAGCGTGAATATAGATTACGAGGAGACCCTTAACATATGAACAAACTGGTGTATACATATAGACTTGTATATGAAAATAGTCGAATAACTAACCACATGTAGTTTTCAGAAAAACCTAGATTGGTAAACCAGCACAACTTGCTTTTAATAATACCGCTCTAGCAACAAAAGAGTTACAAACGTGGTCACAGGATACAAATGGGCAAAATAACATGTGTATGAGGAGGAGAAGGCGCTTAACAGCATCGTTCTCTAGCATTAAATTCCAATGTCAAATAACGACGGTTTTTTGGACGGAAAACCGATGGTAACAAAGTGTTAAAAAAGAGTAGGTTTTTCATCGGATGACCATATACGAAAAAATGACTTTCGTGTTTGCAGTGTATTGTTCAGGGGATCTAAATACTGTTACTATTCAAATTTTGAATATAAATTGTCATCGCCAGGTCTCTATTGTCTATCGAAAAAGATTCCATTATCGTAAAAGGCAAAATATTGATTACAATTACAAGAATGGATCACTGAAAAATCAGTGATAACACCAGAATGCCTTTCTTAAATTTCCCGACCTGTGAAGATCCGAGGTTGAATAGGTCTTCAGCAACCTATGCTTGCCGTAAAAGGCGTTTATGCTTGTCGTAAAAGGCGACTAACGGGATCAGGTGGTCAAGCTCGCTGACTTGGTTGATGCATGTCATTGTATCTTTATTGCATGGATCGATGCTCAAGATGTCAACCACTAGATTGTCTGGTGTAGACTCGATTATTTACAGACCGCCGTCAAATAGCTGAAATATTGCTGAGTACGGCGTTAAACAACAAACAAACAAACCAAACCTATTTATATGGTATTGGCAAATGGAAATGTGATCATATCTGCTTTGGAATAGTCGATCAGATTTAATTGGTTTTAATGGTTGGTATGATAATATGGTGGCGCACGAGGTTGTTAAAAAGGTCGGATGTCAAATTCGAATTTTGCACCTTCAGATATGCACTAATTTTTCGAGGCATGCTTCTGATGAGTCTTTGAATGTCATCTTGATCCATGTTGTCCTACTAATCAGTGAGAAGGGGCGGTCGGATAGCCTAGTGGTTAAGGAGTTCGCTCGTCACGCCGAAGACCCGGGTTCGATTCCCGACAATGGGTACAATGTGTAAAGAATCTATCATGGGTACTTAATACCTTTCAGATTCTAATTTACTGTATGATGATTCATATCACCTTCAAGTTTAGTATATTCTATGAAACCATGTTATCGGTGGTTCAAGAAGGAAGCTCTGCTTACCTAATTGAAAGTGCAAGGTCCACATGAGGTATGATAAAAACTGAGTCAACTGACAAAATTGTTTCGCTGTGATATACTTTAGCAAAGAGTCACCGTAAAGAGATGGGCAGAAGAGTTTAAGAGGGACAGGGAGAACCTTGATGACGAACCTTACCCTGGAAGTCCTGTCACATCAGCAACACCAGAAATGATTCAGAGTATCTGCTATATGATAATGACCGACCAACTGAGCTTTATGTTGCTTGTTCAGTTGGCTTTTCCCGGGAGAGAGTACAGTGCTTTATCACAGAAACTTTAAACAATGAAGAAAGTATCAGCTTGTTGGGTTCCAATGTTTCTGCCACCGAACACGCATCAGGCACAACATGATAATCTCTTGATAATCCAGCTATGTTAGGAGCTAATCCAGAAAGGTTCTTGAAATGATTTGTGACCAAGGATGAAACCTAGGTTAGCCGCCTTTCAGCCCAAACAAATCGAGATAAAAACCAAAACAGTGGAAGGATTTGACATTCCCACCACTGAAGGAGGAAAAGGCTGCTTTATCAGTTGAAAAAAAGTTATGGCCTACGTGTTCAGGGATATCATTATGGTACACTAATATCCTCCACATATTTAACATAACATTTTGAAATCCTTACTGTGGTCTTGAATCACTAAAACACTATTAATTTATTTCTTGTTTGTGTCACGGTATGCTAGCACCTTTGGAGGCTACGTTTCACTCTGACAATACCGCCTTGTCATCTGGATTTCTTTTTATTTATGCTCGCTAGTCAAATAATCAGTCAACTGTTATTTAAAATTGGATTAAAACCTACTATTATGAAAGTATACATTAGTTCATTTTTTTGATAATTGAATAAGTAACGGTTTTTGTAAGGTGGTCATCGTTATTGTAGAACATGCATACATAAATTAATTAAGTGCATATATTGTTAGAATCGAAACTTTTAACAGGCCCTCTAAACATAGCAGATTTTTAAGGTACTAGTTAAAGACACAATCAGTCTAAACTAGTGACATAAATTTTGCTTTCACAAGACATGTTTATACTTGGACATTACTTTGAACAATAGAAATGTTTTTGTTCTCATGACACGTCATTCTAGAATGTTTCATTGCCATTGCAGGATAATAGTGACATCAGCACATGTAAAACGCCATTACTATTATACTTGTATATTTCCTCCGCATACTTCTGTCACAAGGAGACGAGTTTAACAACACATATATAAATAATACATTCAAATAACCTAACATATATCATAGTAATCCATTGTCACTTTCGCCCGAAAGTAGTACCTCCCTCAAATTAATCCGCGCGTGGTTAGGCAGTCATATATCATAACAGTCCTTGCTATGTGTACGTGAGAATAGTCATTGATCAAGAGATACCGATACACGACGTACTGTGATTGTGCAACAAACAAATACATCTGCCACACATCTTAGCGTTCATTATCAACGATGTTTGACTGTTCGACTAACAAGGTAAGTTTGATTGTCATTCGGTAATATTAAGCTAATTATAGGTTACAGCATGACTTATAAATACATATAACGTATAATACATATAACGAAAACGCTTATAACGAACTGACGGATATAACGAACTTACTTTTTGGTCCCGACTACTTGTTGTAGTCATGTTGTATATGTACTGATAACGAACTACGGTTATAACGAACTAAAATTAGTAGTCCCTTTGAGTTCGTTATAACCGCAGTTTACTGTACTACTTTAGCATAAAATCATGAACGTTTTTCTTTTTAATATTCATAGTTTACCGCAATTGCCATACATTTACTGATCATGAGTAAATATACATAAAATCCAGGTGTTTTAACTACAATGAATAAAAGTATATCTAACACCAGAATTATATTTGTGATATATGCTTGAGGTGTGAAAAGAACTTCTTCGAATTCGAAGGTACAATAAAAAATAGTGTTTTCAGACAATAATCTTTATCACTGATTCTCAGTGAACCAATCATGTCATTTTCACCCCTATTTTGTCTTTACTCCCAATGGAATCTGCTAATAATCGAGATAATCGAGACTGATTATTTTGTCCTGCGGAGGCGTTTATAGTTACACCCTTGGTCACATAGTATATGACTCAACTTAAGTCAAAGCAACAATGACATGTAAAATGTGTGACCAAACAGTGGTTAGTTCCGCCTTGTCGGGCGCGCAAACATATTGTGGTTGGCAAGTTAAATTTGACACAGGCCAAACATTAAAATATCATGTTGTGTCCTTTGGCTACAATAAGGAAATTAAAGCGACAAAGCCCTTTCGATATACAATAGAAATATCTGCATAAAGCAGAGTCGATTGTACGATTCCGACTATAACATGAGCATGAGTTTATGAATTACTGCAGACATATTGTCACAGTGGTTGGCAAGTTAATGTCACACAGGCCAAACATTAAATATTATGTTGTGTCCTTTCAACACAATAAGGAAATTAAAGCGACAAAGCCCTTTCCATATACAATAGAAATCTCTGCATAAAGCAGAGTCGATTGTACGATTCCGACTATATCATGAGCATGAGTTTATGAATTACTATCAAATAGTAATGATACCAGGTGTTCGTGAAAGCGTGAGTGTATCCCGCCTCACCTGTGGCACTCGTCACAAACACATGCAAATTCAAGTCAATTGTTCATCTAGATAAGCACAGAAACATATGGTACAAGTCGAAATGGGGAATTGCATTGGACATCATATTTTTGTCACAGATGCGTCAAATTTGGAAATGTCCTCGTCGTGTCAACCATAAACTTTACTGAAAGCTTTACTGAGGCCTTGAATGTTGCAACCTTGGTCAAACAACTACTGAGTAAGAGTCGTATGACGCTCTTTGAAATCTTAGTAGATATATCATGATCGATTGTATCTCAAAGATTGTGAAATGTAAACTCCAAAGGCTGGAGCAATTGGAATATTGCTCGACATGAAGGAGTTGACTATTGGAAAGTTGCAGTCATTTCTCTTGTGGGGAGTGTTTCGTTACAATGAAACAAACGAGGCGGACTATCTGGTCTCCTTTATTCTTGTGCTAGTTATTTCTAGTGCAGGTGGGTAAATCAGTGGAAGGGAATTGGCTATTTGACTGTTACTGAACGATATAAGATAATGGATATAGCTGTAGCTGAAGTTAAACTTCTAGTCCAAATTTCTTTGTTTTGACTTTGCCAATCCGAGCGGAAATTCTGACTCATATGCATAAAGTCACATATCCGCAAGAAGGGAAGCACAATTGGTGCCCAAGGGGATGCCTACTTTCTGCCTAAATGTCTTTCCCCAAATTTTTATGTAAATTTTATAATTGAGGAAGGGGCCGACATGGGTACGATGTGTGAAGCCCATGTCTGGTTTCCCCCGCCGTGATATTGCTGCATAAGCGGCGTAAAACCAAACTCACTCACTATTAATGAGGAAGTCCAGCATTTCACATATTGTTTTCTCAGTAAACTTCAGATGGATGAATATAGATACGTAACTGTGTCTGTGATCATTAAGTTTATATCTCTCTGCATGAAGCAGGGTCGTCTAACGATTCCGACTATATCATAAGCTTATGTTTATGAATCACTATCGACCAGTGACGATACCAACGGTCTTGATTTAGAGATATTCAACACATTTATTGATAATAGGAATAAGAAAGTTTTTAAAGCTATATAACCAATGTAATTGTTGTCTAACCTGCTGGAACCCCTCGATAAATCCATTTCATGTTAATTGATATAAGCTGTGACTGAATACTGAAGTGTTTGTCCAAGTTATATATTATTTCGTACATGTTAACAATTACAAATCATTACTTGCAATTAGAAGAATTCGTCAGTTCTGATTATATCCACCTGGATTGTAAGTGACACAAAAACAGTAACATTGTCAAAATACACTGTTAGCTTCGATCAAGACATACCAGGACCTAATGCAAAAAGCACACCAATGTTAAAATATTGGGTTATACAGACAGAGACTAATGTCATTTACAGGGAAGTCTGAGAAAGGTTTCCCACAAATATATACTCATAGGTGACATTAGCAGTAACACCTGTGTTGTATTGAGTTTGCTTTCACATTACGCATCCAATATTGGTGCGTGTGTTTTTGATATAAATCGCCTGCAAAAAGTCACATGAAGAAAAGCAAACAACACACAACAGCGTGTCCCCTGTTTTCAAATTGATTCCCTTTCACTTGAATAGCACAACAAATCTTTAGTTTTAGATTTACATATCAATCAGTATCGATTATCTGCCGAAACAGATTCCATTGGTAAAAAAACGCAACATATCGGAAAAAAACATGAATGGATTTTTAAGTGATGACAGGTAAGAATGACAGGATGGGATTATCTTGTAAATGTCGATGCATGTCACCCGAAAATGTTGATCATTTTGAATACATTTTAAAAATTGCAGTACATTTGACGATGATTATAATTTCTCTCTGGGCTCCACATAAATGTGGATATCAATAAATGATAGGGTAGAAAAAGTTACTTATACCCCGTTCTATAATACCCCGAATGAGATAAATTCATGATTCTGAATACTATCAACAAGTTATAGTCAATAATTAAGGCTTATACACCTTTATTCATTTGCCCGAATTAATGGCATGTTATTGTTCTCAATGTACTTTCACTGTAAAATAAACATGATAAAAAAATATATTTTTTAAATCTATTGGCCACGAAAGAAACCAAATTACATGAAGTTAAAGCATTTGCTGATGAATATTTTGTTTGGCTGCTTGTACATATGCAAGGGTACCAGTTGAAGGACGGCTTGGGCTTCTTGATTGGAAATCTAAATGTTGATCCTTGGTTTTATTCTGGTATTACTGATTACTATTTTAACTTTTGTCCAGGTTCGATATATAAAACTTATATATTGACGAAATCAATAAATTAAAGTGGAACCGTTCATTCGGGCGGACTAACTAGCTTTCCGATTAACAAATAACTGGTTTAGTTCTTTTACCATATTAAGTTCCCAAAAATAATTATACTGAAAGCGCGGGTTCTAGGTTAACGGGATTCAGTTATCATCAAATTATTTGTAAAAATATTGAGGTCGACACAATTGAAATCATCGCCAACATCCAGGGTACTACAGAAAGACAGCTGGGTGGGTGGGGGTTCTGGGTTGAGAAATGGTATGGGAATGATCATCAGCCCAATGTTGTCGTTGCTGCTGGCAACATGAAACTTGTATGTTACAGAGATGAACTTTTGCTGTTGTGTATTGCCCTTCATCCAACTTACCGACCACGTGTGTTGCTTTGACCGGAATGGCTTATCACACAATGGTCATCCAAGGATCTGTCACATCCAAAACAACCTGATATTACATGAATCCATCCTCAGTACTGTGACTGTAGGTATACAATCATTACGTCCGTAAAGTGGTATCAATTGAACTTACACATCCAACTATCAAACGTATGCATACTCACTGGACACAATGACATCAAGCATTATGTTTCCATCCTCAGTACTGTGACTGTAGACATACAATCATTACGTCCGTAAAGTGATTTCCATGGGCTCACACATCCAACTATCATATGCATCCGTACTTACTGGATACAGTGACCTCCAAGCATTATGTCATGTCATGTTTCTGACAACTTCAAATTTGAAACGTATGTAATCCTTTAATCTTATTGTTTCGTTATTTGTATTTTATCAATGTGCTGATAAATCCTGATATCACACTATAAACGTTCTTGTGTCGGTGCACATTGATTTTTCCCGGACGTTCCAATGTTGCCAGGCTGCCTTTGACATCCCTGAGCCAATTGCACCTTGATAATTTATTGCAGCGTAAATTCATGTGAATAAAGTGACATATTTATAGTCGTTTTGTACTTGATGGCAGGAAGAGCCGATCAATAAGTATTCTGGGTGTGGGTAGGGATTGGCTGGGGTCGGGATTGCCTGGGGTCGGGATTGTTTGATACATATGCAAAGTTTCATAATAAAATATTAAGCAGTTTTCGAGTTATGCTCCGGAAACGATATGTGGCGGGGAATAATATTCAGACTCATTGCACAAAGATAATCCAACCGCGGTTTGGGAATTTCATCGAACTGGCGCATTGACTGCTGCGTCAAATTTAAAAACACGGCGTTAATGTTGAGTCGAACTGCTAACGTTAAATTTCATACTTTAAGTCCCGATGTGTCTTAAATAGCATCTTGAATATATATGACATATGGGAAATATACGTGAATCATCACGCAAAGAGTTGATAATTCTTTCAGTTATGTCCGTTTGCGCTTAGACGGAACCCAGCCGCAAAAGATGGCCACGAGAGAGGCACAAGTCGCTATTCGGCTTGTCCCGGAATAACACGAGTTGGTCACGAATGATTCTCATTGTGTTATGAGGAGATGTGTACCTATGAAAGAAAGAAAGATAATGGTTAAAGTGCAAAGATCCAAAGGTCAAAAGTTTAAATATTCTCATGAATGGAATGTATATGTTGAGCTCTACTACAACGACACATGTACCAAATATCATTTTGAAAATTCAATTAAAATTGGTTGGTAATGGCCATGTTGCCAAGGTGGCCATGTTGCCGTGGTGGCCATGATGAAAATCGGATCCGGACCTCCTGAACCAAGGTTTGGTGCCAATATTGGTCGGAACAAGCTTTGAAAATTTCACCTTCATAGGTCAAGTGTTTTTTTAGTAGACATTTACGACGAACGATGAAAGGCAACACGCCGGAAGACTGACCAGCAGGCCACAACAAAAGTCAAATTAGCCAAACATACTACCGTGAACTCAAGTGTATCGGACTCGCCATAAAGTTACGCGGGACCCTGCCATGAATCAATGAATCTGTTACCAACTCTTTAAATGAGAATACTGAGGCGTCATTATCTAAACAACGTACATGTTTTACAGTCATGATTGATTCCGAGCGCCTCCATTTCGTAGATTGGCCTCACATCCATGTGATTGATCGTTCGTATAAATCTTAAAAAGAGCACGGTCTAAATATACATTTACAGGAAATGGAACGATTCCTTGTTTAACGCCGCACTCAGCAATTCAAGACGACGGTCTGAAAATAATCAAGTCTGCACCAGGCATTCCAGTGATGGACATCATGAGCATCGAGCCAGGAAATTGGGATCGATGACATGCATCAACCAAGACAGCGAGCCTGACCATCTGATCCCGTTAGCCGCCTCTTACGACAACCATCGTCGCCTTTTACGACAAACATGGGTTGCTGAAGACCTATTCTACCCCGGATCTCCACGGGTCACGATTCCTTGAAATGGCAGATGGCATGGGATATAGATAGAAAACAATTTCGTGAAGAACACACTAGTTGCATGGATGCTATCCGCTTTCCATTGGCATTGTAAATGTTTACCTGTATCACAAACTTACATTACTTTTTATTACAATTTCAAAATACATTCACCTTTGTGATTATGTTAAGAGCCAGAATAATACTAATTACTAATTTTTATTCTTCTATTGAATATAGACAATCATTTTCTGAAACTCTCTTCCCTGTCGACATCCGACCCGCTTCGTCCACTGATGTTACCTGTTTACACTTATTAAGGTTGATTATTTTAGTAACTGATTTTCCATTTATATTCAAGTCACTAGTCCAAGACTGTCAGTTTTCCTTAAGTGGAAACTAATAGATAACACCTTGCGCTGCAAGCGTAGTGCAAAACACCAAGTTGGGGAAACAGTCCTCAATCTGATTTTTAATTGCCCATATGATTTTGATAATTATTTTGAAGCATTCTTTAAAACGAGCAGATATTGAAAGGTTGTCCATACTTCCGACACTAAGCTACACCTATGAGTGAACTGGTGTGTGTGGCTACTGGTACTACTCCGGACTGATGCGGTCTTATAGTGCTCACCCACTGAGATACCATGAACATGAATACCCACTCAGACACAGTATACTGACTCCGAGCCTACCAGCCCCCTGTGTTATGCCCTTGACGTGCCTGGCGGGGTAACAATAAGTACGTCAAATGTTAACGTATCTTGGTATGACGCGGCTGGGAATCGAACCCCCGACGCTCTATCCACTTGACCAGGAAGGCGGTCACATGTTAGGGTAACAGTGTTATCGTGAAAATCATTGTTGATTTTATGATACGACTTCATAATACTTATTGCGTTGACCATAACAAGTATTTTTGTAAGCGCTGTGCAATTATGATGATACGCTGTATGATCATTCAAACCAATAATGTCATTGTTCAGTAGTTTGCATTTGTGGTAACAACTTCCACCATAAGCATATTTTACGTTGATTAATAATTTATGACTAAATCCAATTGTGCATTTTTATAACCTCTTTTGACACTTTTGAGACCCCCGAGAATATTCTAAACGTGTAGTTAGTGAGTATTGAACTTCTTGACACTACCAAAACGTACTTAGTTCCTCGAATGTTTTATGAGCATGAACATGCAGTATTTGTCCTGGGATCAATAAAACTTGAAGCGACACGATTTACTCAGCAGTTGCCAAGATGAAACACGGGGTTAAACTGACATGCTCTAAGTGACTCGCGGTTTGTAGACATGCTGTTTTGCCTCGTGGTAAAAAAGTGTTTGAACAGATTGCGGTTACGTGATCACACTCGCGTTTACAGTATGCTCAATTCCACTGATTTATTTTCATTTTGAAGAAATCGAAAATTACTACAAACTTTCTGAAACAATCTTGGACCCCATTCCCACAATGTGAGAGTGATCCTGAAATGATTAAGATGACTGTAAAGACTACGTTATGGAAGTATATGGACGTTCTCGAACATACAAAACATGAGAACATGTATAGTGAGTATGGTTTGACGCCGTGTTTAGCAATATTCCAGCAATATTACGGCGGGGGACACCAGAAATTGGCACCACACATTGTACCCATGTGGGGAATCAAGCCCGGGTCTTCGTCTGATAAGCAAACGCTTTTACCACTAGGCTATCCGACCGCCACCATATACTAGTATATGTATCGTCAAATGATAGAGTGTTGGTAACAATAACCGTCATTATTTAGTACTTACTATGGGGTGACGTACACAAAATATCAAAATATACTTAAAGCAGTTTGTGTTGGTATATATAAACTGAGAGTTCATCCAGCCTGAATGATGACCATAAAGGTGGATTTGACAAAACATAATTGAACTCACTTGACGTACGGAAATATGGATAATATATCCCGAGGGAAATTAGCGCGTATTTTCTCACTGTGGGATATGGTAAACGCACACGTTTGGGAGGTATGCCATGCTTGTTGTGTCGAATATTGGATCGTTACAACGTATGACTTGGGTGTGTCATTGTGCTCCAACGGAAAAGGTTGTTGCTCATGCACATGTTTTCAGCCTTAGTTAACGTTAAACGCTAGAATTTGGCTTCAGAAAGCCATGCTTGTCGTAGGTCGTATATTGTATATCGTGACTCAAGTTTTGTTTGTTTGTTTGTTGTTTAACTCAGCAATATTCCAGCTATATGACGACAGTCTGTAAATAATCGAGTCTGGGCCAGACAAACCAGAGATTGGCATCATGAGCATCGATCTACGCAATTGTGATACGATGACATGCATCAACCAAGTCAACGCGCCTGACCACCAGATCCCGTTAGTTGCATTTTACGACAAGCATAGTTCGGCAAGCAGAGATTGCTGAAGACCTGTATTCCCGATTTTGATCTTCACGGGTGTTTTATACTAAACATTTTTTGAACATTATAGAATAGCTTATTAGAAAAACAAAATCAACTACCATCAAGAGATACATTTCCTAAAAAAACCTGTACTATTACTTTTAATATATCAATTCACCACTCGCATTTTTCGCATTTAATTCACGCTCGTGTTAATTTCAAGATTTACAGTATTGCATCTCGCACGAATCCTACTGAGGTGGATGTGATTCTCAGAAGGACCTTGATTCTAGTCAAATAAAAGATTAAGTTTTTCTGACTGTGAAATAACTTCAGAAAGATTTAATGGAATTATTTCAAAACTACTGAACGTCTTCAGCCTGACACCCTTATCTAATTTCATAACCATTATTCATTACAGCGGACGTTCGTCTTTGGATCAGCATCATTCATCAGTTGGGCTGTGACGTCGTTCCTGTGCCACCAGTCTACCTATATGTTCTTGGGGACATCCGGCAAATTCCTGGGTAATGGGCTTGATGGGTTCATATGGGCGATCATCATCACACTATGTCAGGTTACCATGTGCTATCTACTCACCGATGTACATCTCTGGGACCAACGTTCCACAAAGGCAAAGAAGATATTGTGGGTGAAAGTTGCCTGCCACGTGTTGGCCACCATGGCTACTAACTACAGCATGACGTTGGTACATGCGTCGTCCACATTCGCCATAAAGCTCCTGGAACCGGTAACGAGTGCCATTATTCAGCGTCTGGTTTTAGGAACATCTCTGCCACCCTACATCTATCTCAATCTTCCTCTCATCATCTGTGGTGCTGTAGGATTTTGTGGAAATTCCTTTAATACGTCCTTGACAGCTGCTGGCGTTGCCATGGCCTTTACGTCCAATATAATACTGGCCTTCAGAAACGTGGCCATCAAACTGGATCAGAAGGACACTTCCACTCAACATGTCCAGCTGAGACCGAAGATATTGGTCATCAGCATTGCAGGTGTTTGTGTTTCACTGGCTGTTGGCACTAAATACCTTGCTTCACAAAAACTTATGTCGACCTCTTTCTCATTCCTGGTTAAAACAGCATTGTGCTCCAGCGTCTTCCACGTCATCTACTCCTACATCTCAACCAACGTCGTGCTGCTCTACATGTCCGTTGTCAGCCACTCCGTCGCCAACATCTTCAAGCGGATCCTCGTTGTGCTGCTGCTTTACTCAGTCGGACAAAGGGAGGCAACGCTTGCTAACTTCTCCGGACTTGGCATCTGTTCCCTTGGTTTGATTATCTATGTCTTGGACAAGAAAGGAAACACCTATTCCTCCATTTTCTATACACCATCAAGTAAGTAGTTTTTATTTAGTAATTGAGTTGTAGGATGTTAAGCTGCATATTAAAGAATATGTACATATTATCTAACACGGGTTGCAGAATTACAAGGATAATACATTTTAATATTATATAAAGTGGATATGTGAGCATCGACAAATATTTGCGGCATATTCAATTAAAGTTACTGTATTATTGATATAGAACATTATATTCGATATCTATGCCACAACTGTTTTCATCAATTTGACAATAAAAAATAACTATTCAAATGTATATTTACCGAGGTCAAACATAATTGCTGTTCGTCATTATTGTTTTTCAGAGATCATCAGAACACGCATCTTGGGACTTTGCTTTCTCTGTTTCTGTTTTATCACTGTAAGATACAAGTACGTCAACACAAACAATGCCATGAGTGATGTATATCGATATTTCATACCAGGGGGAATTGCCAAAAGCAGTGTTCTCTTAGGGAAATCATTTGAAGGAAAGGCATTTTCTAAGTATATCCAGGACTTTTCCACAAACGCCCTGAGCATAAATACGTCTAGTGTAGAAAGTTTTCTCAAAAGAAAGCTAATCCTGAGTCCGAAAGAAACAGATATTCTCTCTCCAAGTCTTACATCGTCCTTGGACATCATCAGAGAAGCACAGAGAGTTCATTTCAACTTGTTTTCTGATATACTTTCTCCTTACAAACAAGCAATACTATTAGACATCGCGTCTTTCGAAAACAAAGGTGACCCTGCTATAACAACGGGCGAGGTGTATCTTCTGAGACGCCTTGGTATAAAACTTCTATATTACTGTAATTATTATGCTTGTACGGACAAGAATCTTGACTATGCCAAGAACCTGACAACTAGATACTCCCACAATGACCTCGTTGTGTTAATTCACGGAGGTGGGAACCTCGTTGGATATTCTGCAAATGATAAATTACGAGAAAAAATATTCCAACGGTTTTCAAACTTTAAGATGGTATTGTTTCCCCAGAGCATATTTCTAAAAAAGAACTCAGAAAAACAACATCTTGAATTTTGTAAGAAATTGTACCAAAATCAAGGGAACTTCACCATGGTACTTAGAGACAGACAATCCTTAGGATACGCGGAGACTTACTTCAAAGGTAAACCAATACTGATGATGGCTCCAGACATGGCCTTTCAGATTGGCGCTGTTCCAAGATTTATCTCCCCTTCTTTTGATATTTTGTGGTTGAAGCGTTCAGACGACGAAACTCCCGGATACAAATTGCCCAAACTTCCCTTAGGGATTACAGTGCACTGTTCAGATTGGTGGGGTTGGAAAACACCGAAAGGACATACAACTATGGAAACTGCTTTCCTGATGGCCAATAATGGGTTGATATTTCTGCAGCGTGGCCGTGTTGTCATCACGGACAGATTACACGGACATATTCTCAGCACTTTACTGGACATTCCTCACGTGTTGATTGACAACTCATATCGGAAGTTGTCGTCGTATCACAACACATGGACACGCGGTCTGGCTAACACGGTGATTGCAGACAACGCCTCCCACGCCCTAGAACTGGCTGTGCAACTGTTGCAGAAATATGGCGACGTTCTGCCACCTATTGCTCCGTATATGGATGTGGTAGAGAAACGTACACCATAATCGGAGGCTACTTGAGAGTGTACCAGGCATCATCACTATAAGATGGTGATTCATGAACAAAAGCTATTTATATATACATAAAGTCGGACTTGTTCAATGGAAAACTTTGTCGCTTATATATACTGAACCAAATTAAAAACTTCACAATCCTAAAATTTTAACATTTTGACCAGTTATCATTGTGGGCCCTTCTTGTGTATTTAAACACTAATGGCCACGTATTGTCTTCAGATAACACCCGTTTTTGTGCAGGTGAATCGATCAAAATCATGTGCACAGCACTATAGTGGCAGAAGTGTTTTTTGACGTGCAACTGGTCACGTGGCCATAATACCGCACGTGTTTTCAGCCATACTTGTTGGCAGTCATTAACAAAAAAAGAAAAACACAAGAAAACAAAAGTCTTTACGGCCATTTGTCATGCCACCGCTTTCAAATATGCAACGTGAACGTCCGTAGCTGAAGTCGCAAGAACGATGGGTTGTAGTCGACGGACTGTTTATGATTTACAGACGCGTCAACAGCAAACGGGTTCCACCGCTGATCGCCCTCGGCCAGGTCGACCACGTGTGACGTCACATGCAGAGGATCGTCAGATTGTCTTACGTCACCTCCGTAACCGATTTTGACGGCTACATCAACCAGAAATGAACTGTTTAGGGGTAGACTGAGTGCGCAAACTGTTCGAAACCTTCTGAGAACTGCTCACCTTCAAGCACGACGGCCATACTGCGGGCCGATTCTGACTCAATTACACAAACGTCATCGTCAATTGTGGGCACAGCGACACTTACGATGGACTCAGAGGAATTGGAATCAAGTCGTCTTCAGTGATGAATCCCGATTTAATCTTCGATTTGCTGATGGTACGGCGATGGTGTGGCGGCGCCGTCATGAACGTTTCGCCCAGTGTTGTGTACAGGAAGTTGACAGATTTCGAGGCGAAAGTGTCATGGTGTGGGGTGCTTTCTGTGGCAATGCACGTTCCAGGCTTCTTGTCATCCGTGGCAACCTCAACGCTGCTGCTTACCGCGACCAGGTACTGGCACCAGAACTTTTGCCTTTTATGGTCGCACATGGACCCGGTTTGATCTCCCAACACGACAATGCCAGACCCCACACAGCAATTTTGACAAGGAATTTCATTCAGAATGCGGGAGGCAACGTCATGGACTGGCCGTCAAGGTCTCCCGACCTCAATCCCATCGAACACGTCTGGGATGCTCTTGGCAGAAGTCTTCGCACTCTCCAGAACCAACCACAGAATTTGCAAGATCTTGGCACCATTTTGCAGCAACAATGGCGTCGTCTTCCCAATCATGTGTTCACAAGCATCACAAGGTCTATGCGGAGGCGTTGTGTGGCAGTTGTCAACGCACATGGTACAGGCTACTGAACTTGTGTGCCATCAGATTCTCGTGCTTGGGACTTATGATTTAAACTGTTGATGTTATTACCGAATACCGTAGGTGCTTGGAACAAATTATGGTTACCACCGTTAATTAAAATCCTTCTTTGGACATTAATGATTAAAAATTACCTTCTCTGATACATTTGTCCGTTGTATATCATATATAGGATTACTTTTAAAAGGGGGAAGTTTTTAATTTGACTCAGTATATATAAGAATGTTCAGATATATTGCAGCGACGATGTGTGTGACACGTAAATTGAGTTATTACTGCTTTTATTGCTCTGTTGTGCTGCATCCATATTTAGTAGCAGGTTCATCGCGATACATTAATAGCCGTTTCAGTTATGGAGAGAATCGAGTGAATCAACGAACAAATGGATGATATGTTAAATTTTGCATAGCTCTCTTTATTGATAAAACATGGATATTTTACAGTCCCCTCAGTTATTATCTGCTATACAACTCTGCAATTTGCATGCAGGCATTGTCAATTCATTCAAAGTGTGCTTTTGCTTTGTTTGGGTTCAACATGAAATGATGTCTTTTTATAAAATAGCAGGCAAATTAAATAAAAGTGTGCTTTGGAGACGACATCAATTCCAGCTTCGATTAATATTAGACTGTTCGTTTCAGTAGGGTAAGGATCATCTTATATGAATACAATAATGAGAGATAATTTTACAGAGACCGGCGCTATGATGAGCGAACGCGGTTGGACCGACGAAACCAGGCCTATATTACCCAGTTTGCGTTGTAACGTGACATTTGGGTGCATTTGATTGCACCATGTTTACCCTCGTTTTATGACATATTCTTCCATTCATAATACAAGATTCAGTTTTCAACGTAAAACTGTCGCTCTTAACATTATTTTGCATACGATAGATTTATAGCGACCAGCATGCACGTGTCAGTGTCTCTGTCAGTCTGTCTGTGTGCGTGCGTGCGCGTGTGTGTGTGCTTGTACAAGTTCAGATTTGTGTCCGGTTCTCTAGTGGTAGCCCACTGAGATACGTTCCCACAGTAGCAGGAAGAAGCTACCATGTTTCAATAAATAAAGTTTTCCTATGCTTGACCAACAGTGCTTTGACTTCTGATTTAGGTCAGTATCATTGCAGGAGCAGAGTGTTGGGCTGGTATTTATTCTGTGGTTAATGTCAGGTTTTCCAGTACATTGCGTTATTAATAATTAATTTATAATGCGACCAAGGAGAACGAAGACACGCACACTGGGTAAAGCTCATCATGCTTCACACAACCATGCAGAGTCGCGTCCCTTGGACACGCCAGAAACCTATTTAAATACCGGGTCGCCTTGATTATACATTTAGGTTTGTCAGCGTCATATCACACCTTGGGCTCGACGTAATCAGCATTGGAACATCGTTGAGTTGAAGATAGATTTTCTTTGGAATCTTTCCGCCTTTGAATATCAGAACACAACTATTGGAGGCATTGTAACACAATCTACATCGGCATGACTAATCTTGCACAACATTAAGAGAACACTGCAGGCCATGACTGGTTGTGCTGATTAATGTTGTGTCGTGACCTTGATTGTAGTTAATCTTTAGACCTAGGTTGATCGTTTGACCAAATCATTGATGCATACAAGGAACATCCATGCTGACAGTACTCTTCCTTGTCCGAATCCTTGTCTGGCTGGAACAACAGGCTGCAGTGTCTGGTTCAGTTATGCTGCAGAGGAGATTAGACCAGGGGGTATAAGATTACATACAGCGTACACGGTGCTAGGCTGTTTCTTATTATAGTACAGCACACAGCCTCGTTTTAGTGTAACGCTACAGTCAAGAAGCCTATGGCCGGGACATCACATCTCCCGCCCAATAAAATGCTCTTGTATGTGCCATTCACCTACCTCACTAAATGGTTCATACGTAGATAATAGTGTTCGGGTAAAAGACTAAGACGTTTTGTAGATACAGTGGTGGTGTGACAATTTTTATTAGAGAATCGTGGGTCATTGATGGATATTTAACAAGGATGTATGAACATTTTGAAAATACAGTAGTTTTCTTATTTAACACATCAAGATTAGGTATTGGCAAGGATACTATCTTGATTCTGACATATCTATCACCTGAAAACTCTATGAGGATAAAGATAGAGATGGTATGTCAGTATTGGAGGACTATTTGACAGAGATTGTACATGATCACCCAGAAAAGGAACTCTTTCTTGCTGGTGATTTGAATGCTAGGACCAAAACCTTCCTTGATTACATACCTGAAGATAACATTGATTTTGTCCAAAAGGAAATTGATGATTACCCAACTGACAGCTTTGAAGTACCAAGGAACAATAAAGATTCTGATAACTGCAACAAGTTTGGTAAGAGACTTGTTGAATTGTGCAAATTATTCAGTATACATATATTGAATGGAAGATGTCACAGTGACAAGCAAGGTGAATATACATGCATTACACACAATGGTACCAGTACTGTTGACTATATGATAGCTTCCCCTAGGCTCATTCCATGTATAACTGACGTTGGAGTAGGTGAGCGAGATGAGTCAAATCACTTCCCAGTGTTTTGCAGGTTTAGTTTTGCTCATAATGATTGCAGTAATGTACAAGTCAACAAGAACAATGATGATTCTCTGCTTAGTGAACTTGAAGTTAATCCCTGGTACAAATACCCATGTAAGGAAGATAATAAAGATGTCTTTAAATCCAAGTTTAAAGACTTGTATGACCTCCTCAAAGATGAAATTGAACAGATAATTTCAACAGATGTTAATACTGCACTCTGTCGACTTGTGAATGTCTACCAAGAAGCAGCATCTATAAACAAGAGACTTTACTGTTTTCCTTCAACCCGTAATAAATCTAGACAGATCAGTCAACCACTTTGGTGGGGCAGTGAATCTGAAAACGTAAAGAATGAAAAATACCGTGCCTTGCGAGGACATAGAGACTATTGTTTAGATATGAGTGCGTTCAGGGAGTTGCGATCTAAATTCAAGAAAACTTTTGCACTTAAAAGACAATCTTATCAAAATCAACAGCAACAAAAACTAATTGAATCAAGAGCTAATCCTAAATTATTCTGGAAATTGTTAAAACAAGGGAGACAATCACAATTGCTAGTTGGAATTAGAACTGATAAATGGATGAAGCACTTTTTTTTCCTCCTCCACTCAGAAAATAAACCCATCTTACCTCCACCAATGGACACAGATAATTATGTAACTGATGATACCCCGGCACATGAAGAATTAAATCAACCTATAACACATCAAGAAGTTGAACAACATATCCAAAAGCTTGCAAATAATAAATCACCAGGACCTGTCTCTGAATATTTCAAGAATACAAAACATATAAGTTTACCTACATTGACTGCTCTCTTTAATGAAATACTTGACAATGGTGTGTTTCCAAATGCTTGGAATAGAAGTATGATTTGCCCTCTTTTTAAGTCTGGAGACAAGCGTGATGTAAACAACTACAGGGGAATATCCTTGATTGATAACTTGGGTAAAATATTTACCTCTATCATAAACTGGAGACTTAAGAATTTTTGTGAGAAAAATAACATAATTGATGAACTTCAAGCAGGATTTAGGTCCAATTATTCAACTATTGACAATATTTTTAGGGGAAGAAAGGGGAGAAGAAAGGGGAGATTTTACTGCCACTTTGTTGACTTTTCAAAGACATGAAAATCTACTTAAAAGCCTACATTGTGTTGGGATCAAGGGTAAACTGTTCAATACAATTTCATCAATGCATTCAAGTCTGTGTGCTTGTGTAAGGGCTTCAACTGGACTAACTGATTAT